TGGGACTAATGACAGTGATCATCTCTTGTCTGGAGTGCTTTTTCTTCTCTGTCAGTGATTGTTTCTATGGCCTCTAATTCTGTCTCCAATTGCATCTTCTTCCTAGGTTTTTCCTCATCACTATTTTTCTCTGCACTGCTTGTCTCTTCATCATCTCTTGCTCTCCTTTTGCCACCACCGCCATTGTCATCATCCCCACGGTCGTTGTAGTGGGAGTCAGGGTCAGTCCGTGCCTGAATCGAATGCGGGATTCGGCAATCTGTATCCTGATGCCGCTTAAAACCCCAGTCGGTCTTGCAAGTTTTTAAGCAGTACGGGCACTTGAATTTGACCATCGTGCATGTTTATTTTGTGCAACTGGTAAAGATTTGAGGGGTGGCCAAAGTTTTGCCTTGGATAAAGCGGAGAATGCGGTCAGGTCCAAGGGCATAAGGAAAATGAATGACGATTGCGAAAACTGTTTAAAGCTTGGTGCACAAAGAATTTGCCCATTTGCATGTTGAAGCAGGCGCACCCACAAGAATCTTTTTCAATAGTAAAGAATGTTCTGTTCTCCATGCACTTTCGTTAAGCATATGCGTAAACACTAGTTGTAGCCTTGCTTATTATGAAGCAATGTACCGTACGAATCTATAGGCAACATCAAGATCATTTGACGCAAAGCTGAGTTAATAGTAGCACCTGCATCGGACTGTAGAGGCTCTTGCACAAGACCATCACGCACAAGCACACTGGTAATAGGGTGGCGTTTAAAAGCGCTTCTCAAGAACCACCAGAATGACAAGGTCCTTACAAATTAGACCGGTAAATACGGCCTGACTGTTCCGCAAACTTATGTACGACGCCAATAAAGCGCGCATCAGTCTTCCAAGACTTGGAACATAAGGTATTTACACCCATACAGAGCACTGATCCCCTTGTAGAATTGCCATCGTCGACACACATGTCTACATCCAGACAGAAGGCCCGCCACTTAATTCAAATGTCCCTTGTCCATATGACTTCTGGCCTTGTCAGTGGCAAATGCAATACACGGCCTTAGCCTTAGTCGTAAAGACTCGGATCCTAATGTTAATCCATCATGACTGTAGTCTCCGTGAATGTGTGAGACAAGGTTCTCAAATGACCGCTCTAGTATACAGTTATGATACTATGCTAATTTAAGCCAGCCGTGGAGACTTCCACGCACTAGATCCATCAATACGATCTCACGCGTTCCGTTTTTAGGAACGTGAGCATATACGTAGTTACTAACCGCAACCTACTCTATCACACTTTATAGTCTCCCGCGGGAGACCAAGATCTACGATCCTTTGATGGTGATCTCTCTCGTTGATAGTTTTCATAGCTTTCTAATCTCTCTCATAACTTTCATTCTCTCAAACACAAAACACTCGAAAGAAATCTTTACATAGCTTTTAGCGTAGTGCAAGAGGATTGGAAAGGTGACTTGCTTTTTCTTTGCAGTTGGTCACTGCTGTTTTCGTGTCGCTTGTGAACAAGGTGAACCCCTTGACTGGATCTTTTCTTCCTCTTGCAGGTGAAGTATCGTCTGATGCCGTTATTGCATTATCTTGTGTCGGCAGAACCAGTCATCGAGGAGAAGCACCATTGTGTTGGGTTCGCGCATTCTCTTTCGAAGATACTTCGCGTATCTGGCCCGGAATGACTTGGATCCCTTCATGGCATTGATCTCGGACACGGTGTGCTTCTTGCCAGTGGGAGATAAGGTCCCATTTCGCAATGCCTGCAGCAGGTTCTCCAAATCTTGAGGTTCGTATTGATAGAGACAGTCGAGGAGATCAGCAATCGCCTCCATGTAATCGGCATGTCCTTTCCTCATTGTTGCAATGATTCCTTTTTGGAAATGAAACAGGCCCAAGCGACCTTCCAAATCCGGAAACAGTGATGCCCAGTAGTCACTCTTGTTGGGCCACGTATCACTGTACATTGCTCTTGGATTGAACCCGTCGCGAAGGGAAAGCTGCTTAGCAGCATGACTGAAGTGCCTAGTCTTTGCTGTGGGAACAAGCACTGCACTCGCAACCTCTCCAGTTGATGTTCCGACGTCCCAAACAGTGACTGCTCCTATTCCTTTCTGGTAGTTCTTCACAGCAGCAAAGGTGTGGTCCTGACAGAATATTCCATTGCACTTGACACTCTGTATCTCCCTCGTGTGCCTGTCATGGTCGCTGATACCCCAATAATTCTTGTTAGTGCTGAAAGCTTCATCGTAAGTCTCACGGATTGTCTCACCGTGTGGAGGATATTGCTTCAAGAAAGATCCCTCTTTCTTGATGTAAGGTTGGAAGGTCGCCTGTGGCGACTGGCTCTTTTTGTGCCGGCACAAAGAATAATAAGACATAGACCTACTCAAATAGTCCCTGTTTATTGCTTCGTACAACATCCGACTGCATAGTTCACCATTGCCGTAGGTTAGAATGATGGAATCAAACACCTGAGTACACGTCCTGGATCAGTGACACGATTTGGTTTCCAGGGCATATTTTGGCTCAATGGGGTAGGCCATTGATGCGAATGGAGGAATTGAAGAAAGGACATCAACAGAGTTGGCGTCGAATGTCTTCTTACAACTAGAACACTTCATGCCCACCTGGAACATGCTCCATGCAGGAGCACCATCGATTCCAAAGATCGGGAAGAGTGTTTTGTTGTGTGAAAAGTTCGTTCTTTTGTTACAGAGAACTCCATCGCATGAATGGCACGGACATTGTACTTCAATTCCAAACCGTTCCCAGTCCACCAACAGGAGCTTTTGGCCCATGATCGAGTGATAATGTGGATTTGTACAGCTGTCAATGGATGGAACAGTCATCCTCAAAGTAGGTTTTGAACAGCCCGGCCTGGACCACCTCTTTCATGACCACTTCTGCAAATGCGATCATGGCAAGAGGAGCACTCTTCTTGCTGTGTTTCTGACAGAACGAGTCCTCAAGCATCATTTTGGAGACATGATCGCAAAGCTTTTGAGCGATGGCTTTTGTCTTTTGGACTGGGGAAATTGTTGACTGTTTCTTTTTGGTTGTCGACTTCTTGGGAGCGAGAAATGCATTGATTGATTCCCTGCTTACATTTCCACCGCTGAACTTCTCCTTGTCTGCAACCGGTGCACTGAAATGTTCCTCCAACCTTTTGGCCTCCTTCATGGTTGCCTTGGTTTGTTTCGATACACTTCCAAGACCCTTGGTCGTGGTGTTCTTTGGACACTTCACGTGATGAGCTTTCTTATACTCAGAGACCAGAGCACCACCCTTTCGAAGGTTGTTGTTGATGCACTTCTTGCAATGTGTCAATGGATCAAATGCGGCTTCTCCTGCAAGTGTTTGTTGACCTGTTTTCTTTTTCTTGTTGCTGCTGCTATTTGATGGCGATGCCAATGAAAATGCTCTCTTCTGAAGTGAATTTCGCTGTTGGCTTTGGCGTCCCATGTCTTTATTAGATTGTGTATTAACACTCAGCCCAGCTAGTGGGGTTGTGGCAGGGGTTGTTGGAGTCATCTTGATGATCTGGGATGGGTGGATAATGGACTTCTCGCTTGCTACTGCTACGGCGGCCTGCTACGGCGGCATGCCATTGTCACAAAGGAATCTTCGATTATCATTTATTTTGGCGCCAAGACGTACCAACAAACGCCAAATATTGCATTCCAGCATTCCGTACATAATGTAATGATGATATCACGGCTCTTAAGTCTTGATTACATATGCACCATCCATTAGCCAATCATATCACTGCCTTTTGACGCTCTGACCCCCCGCGAACGCCCAAGCAACCAACAGTAAACCTGAATTTGTACAGTGTCGAATGATGTCAAATGACGAGGGCGGCGGTCGGGCAGGCAACAGGGGCCGGAACAATGGTGGTCGAAAGGGAGGTCGTGGTGGTAGGGGTCGCCGTGGTGGTCGGCGTTGGCGCGGTGCAGAGCAGAATCAGGATACCATCAACAACAACACGACATGGAGCAATCTCAATCCGGACTACCGACGGTGGCTTAAAGGTGGGGGATTAGCGGCCAATCCAACGAGTTCGGCAATATGACCCATGACAAGAAGGCAGCCTTGTACAAGGTTTTCTCTGGCGGAGAAGCAGCAAAAGCACAAGCAGCAAAAGCACAAGCAGAAGCAGCAAAAGCAGAGGCGGAAGCACGAGTAGCAGAAGCGGCAGCACCAGCACAAGCATTACCCGATCAATATGCTTCTGTTCTCCTCGATATGGCTGTGAGAAACATGTCAGTCGGCTGTGAGAAAATCAGCGAGAACCGCACAACGCATGAGTCGCAAACCGTCAGGAACGAAGCCATAAGGTTCTATGGTTTGCATTCAGAAAACACATTTCAAATTCTGGGCGTTGGGACCTTACACGTACAGAACGCCCATATTTGGCCTTACAACAACAAAGAGAATTTGATTTTGTGTGACTTGAACGAGACGGACATTGATAACCCAAGGAATGTACTCCGGCTCCACAAAGATATTGAGCACCATTTCGACAGGATGCATCTCACATTAGTCCCAGATGGCGACGGTTTCACTCTGAAGATTTTGGATCCAACGGTGAAGTCCTCACCAATCCAAGATGCCAAGAGCAACCAACCCAGTACCATTGGTGAAGTTGAGGGCAAGCAACTCATATTGAGCCCCAAACACGGGAAGCCATGGCGACGCCTTCTTGGCACTCACTCCATTCTTGCCCATCGGAAAGCTCGACTGAACCGACACATTGAATCAGAAGACCTAAGCGCTGCAGAGGTGAACGCAAACGAATTGATGAAGTGGTCTTTGGTCAGGGAGAAGCAGGAGCGAATCCAATTTCTGCTGCGAAGGTCTGCAGTGCAGACTGAAAATCCCGAATGAGGAGGAGTTTGATCGTGCTGTTGCTGAGTCGAAGGAGAAGAAAAAGAAGTCGGAGGAGAGCGCTGAGTGAGAAGAGAGGTCGTTACCGTGCATGGCGCGTACACTTTAGCTTAATGATAGATGGATTTGGTTAGGTTTAAATCTCATAGATCTTGAACGATCACGAGTTAGGTTGATTTTTCTGAAGCGTCGGTTCCTCCTGGTGGGTAAACTCATAGCATGCCCTTACACCGCTGAGACGCCTCTAGACCACAAGAGCCACGAATTCATGGAAGGAACGAAGCAGCATTGCTTGCTGGAGCCATCAATTCACCCCTCAATAAGTTCAATCCATCAAACTTGCAGTACAACTATGTACAGATTCAGCTAGCTAGCTTCTTCGTACAATATGAAACGACATGTAAGTGGAAGTGCGCAAAATGCCATTCATCTATTCTAATTAATCCTCCCGAAATTACCATTTGCCTGTGCAAATGTCAAAGACTCCCTCAATCAAGTCACTGCCTCTCTTCACCACAGCCTTCTCCATACTGGATGCATAGGGAACTGGAGCATCGTCCATACACAACCTCTTCACTGGAGAATCAAGAAGATCAAACAGTTCCTCAGAGATCCTGGCACTAATGGTTGCTCCAACTCCTCCAGTCTTGGTAGATTCATCCAAGATGACAAGCTTGTGTGTTCTGGAGAGACTCTTTTCAATTGTCTCCATATCCAGAGGCTTCAAAGAGCGCAACTCAATCAAATCAATATCAAAACCTTCCTCTTGGATCGATTCAATGGCCACCATGGACTCTTTCACTCCATGCAGGTAGGTCAAGACTGTTACTGCCTTGCCACTGTCAACACTGGCCTGTGAGGCTTCATTCAACAGAGCAGCCTTGTTCAGAGGCATGCACTTGCCAAGATCCACAGCTCCCTTGGCCTCCTTCATCATCTTCACTGGAGCAAACAAGAAGCATGGGCCATTGTCACGGATCATACTCTTGGTCAGACCATAGGCAGCGTCTGGTGAGGCAGCTGTTCCAATCTTCAATCCTTGGCCTTGGCCTGGAGATCAGCAATGTGTGCCTGGACAGTCTCCATCTTCTCAGGACTGATGGTTCTGGCATTGACCTCATCAGCCCATGCAGGGCCCTCCTTCAAGTTGTAGTCTGTATCTGCAGCGTCAGGGTATTCAAGCTCCTTGGCAAGCTCAACAGGAGGCATGGGAGATTCGTCAGCAAACTTAACACAAGCCTTCACTTCAGCCAAGACTTCTTTCCTTGTTGCCTTCAGTTCTTCTTCAGTGAACATGCCATTGGCAGTGTAGATAGCCTCAAAATTTTTGATGGGATCTTGTTCAGAACGAGCCCAAGCCTTCTCATCCTTGCGACCACGCTCATGCTCAGGGTCAGCAGGGGAGTGACCGTTGAATCTGTAGGTGTGTACCTGCAAGACAGCAGGGCCCTTGCCACTGCGAATGTAGTCAATAACCGCCTTGCCTCCCTTGGCCACATCAGCGGGGTTGTTTCCATCAACCAAAAGACCAGGAACTCCATAGTGCTTTCCTTGCTTGAACACATCCGAGTTCTTTGCAACATCAGGAGTGAAAGTGTTGATGGCACGGCCATTGTCAATGACAATGATAAGCAAGGGGAGATTATCCTTGGAGGCAGAGTTGAGAACTTCAGCCATGCGGCCATTCTGAGACCCACCCTCTCCAATGAACACAACAGAAATTCGGTCATCATCCGCTGGTGGGGGGACATTGTCCTTGGCCTTGACTTCGGCATCATCTGAGATTCCCAAGTGCTTATCCAACTGGATGGCCTTGGCCAAACCACAAGCATATGGAAGTTGTTCACAGACAAGAGCCCAGCCACCCTGGAAGTAAGTTTCTTTGTCAAAGATGTGCATGGATCCACCAGCACCACGGCAGGTTCCTGTATCTTTCATGAAAAGCTCTGCCATGACCTCTCCCATGTCTACACCACTGGCAATGGCGTGAGTGTGTTCTCTGTAGTAAGAGATCTTTTTGTCATCTGGTTTGAGTGCATAGTCAAGAAGACCAGGGATGCTCTCTTGTCCATTGTCAAGATGCATAAAACCACGGATCTTTCCTTGCATGTATTGTTGGTTGCAGGCATTCTCAAAAGCTCTGGCTGTTTGCATGGCTTTGTACAATTTCATTAATCCCTCCTTGTCAGAGTCAAGCATGGTGTATGAATCCAGTTCAGTTTGGCTGTATCCAAATGCTTCTTGCAGCTGTAGATAAAACATGTTGTTATTGAGTGTGAGCTTTGCAATAGCATCAACAAAATTAATTTAGAGACCACTCTTCCTTCCGGCACATACCTGAGCGGCGACCTCTTCCCACTTCATGTCAATCGGCGGCCTCATCATTCCAGGTGCTTCCTCATTTGTTGTCGCTGGTGCTTCGACGGTGGTAGACATCCGAAGTGGAGAAGCCAAAGAACTAGCTGTCGACAATGTCTTTGCTGTTTGGTACTGAGCGGGGCTGCAATCCAACGCGACCATCAAACCACACGATTATTAAGGTAAGAATCCATGAAATCGGAGTCATCACTTCACCTATTCGTCGCATAACAAACAACTTACGCAAAAGCCGCCGCAGTGGCCAAACAAAGGCTCAAGCATGCTGCAGAAAACTTCATCTTTTCTATAGTTGGCAGGGTGCTCCTATTGACTCTTGGTCTTAATTTATGCGATACGGACTTCGAGCAAGGATTTCACAAGCAAACCGAAAGGACCCATCACTTCTGATGATCAGAGACGTCCCACCGCAGAGAGGCGACGATTGAAGATGTCGGCGGTTTGCTGTTTGACATCAGCATCTTCCTCGACACAGTGACGTCTTTGAAAGAGCAAACAAGTGCGTGGTTTGATTTAGTCCCGGCAATTCATTCGTACTATTGGTTCCAGGGAAAGGGATAACCTTTGGTACTAGTACGGTGTACCAGGTGGTACTAGTAGCTAGCTAGAGTAGTAGCTGGCACAGCGTACCGTAGGGTTGTAAGATTGATCATTCTTCCCCATACCTGGTACCTGGTACTCTGCTCGGATTGTTGCTGTCGCTCTCCTTTGGCTTGGCATGACACCATGTTTGCATGCTGCCCACCGATCCTTCCCTTCTTTTCACGCTGGCTCGAGTCGAGTCTAGCTACCGGTAGGCAGTGAATCGAATCAACTTGTCTACAATGGTAGTGCCATTTGATGACATGAAGGGTTTCAAAGGATCAGGTAGAGTCGTAGCAGAAGCAGCAAATTAAGGTCAGGTAGATAGCTAACTGCTTAGAATATTCCCAGTGCAGTTGTCAGGGCAAACACAAGAAATAGGCAGCCACCAATAATGCCGATGACTCGTTGCAAGCTTGGCCTTGGTCGCATCTGCGTCCATGACGGCATTCCCAGCAATCTGCCATGCGGTGGATCTAGAAAGCATGTACGGAGGTGCCATTACCATGGCTTCAACAACTAGCGGTTTATTGAACAGGCTTACCGAGACTGGATTCTACCAGGCATTTACTCTGGTGTTCCTAAGTGAAATTGGCGACAAAACCTTCTTCATTGCTGGCCTCTTGGCCATGAAAACATCCAAATTAGCTTCTTTCTTGGGATCCATGGGTGCCCTAGGGGCAATGACTGTGCTATCCGTCCTCATTGGGCAAATCTTTCATGCAGTGCCATCTGGGTTTGGCGAAGGAATCCCACTCGATGACATTGCAGCTTGCATTGCTTTCGCATTCTTTGGTTTCAAGACACTGAAGGATGCTTTGGATATGGAAGAGGGAGAAAGTGTCATGGATGAAGAGCTGGCCGAAGCAGAAGAGGAAGTTGAGAACAGTGATTCGGTCAAGAGAACCACAGCTTGGTAAGATGATACTGACAGTTAGTTTTCAAGCAGCTTTACGATGTTCAACAGCGGCGTGTTCTCAAACTCATTACTTGTACAATGCTCTGTCATCAGGGGTCAACTGGTCAGCATTTTTGCTCTTGTCTTTGCAGCAGAGTTCGGAGACCGTTCGTTCCTCTCGACAATCGCCTTGTCTGCAGCCCAAAACCCGGTCAGCGTCGGAGTCGGCGCCATTGCTGCTCATGGTGTTGCCACTGGCATTGCTGTATCCGGAGGGTCTTACATTGCCAAGTACATATCGG